GACTCAAGAGTATCAGAAGAGATACTATGACTTCAAGTATATTACAAAGAGTTTTAAGAAAGATGATAGAGTCTGACTGAGTCTAGAAAACATTATTATATAAAGATTTAGTAAGAAGCTGAATCTCTTACAGATAGAGTCTTATAAGATTATAAAGAAAGTTAGTTTACAGTTCTATAGATTGAAACTATTATCTGAGTTACAGATATATAATGTTTTTCATATCTCTTTACTTTATAAATATAAGAAATTCTCAGAAGAGAATTCTGTGACTCATCACTCTATCTACAAAGTACTAGAGAGTGAAAGAGAATATCAGATTAAAGAAATTATTAACTCAGAGAAGTAAGATTACAAGCTCTGATTCAAGGTTCAGTGATAAGAGTATTCTGACAAGATGAATAAGTTCACTTAAGAATTATTCAGGCAGATAAGATATCTGCAGAAGCTGAGACATGACTTTTATATCACAAATTCTGATAAGTCAGAATAATATAATCTTCATTAAGAATCTGATTGTGACAAAGACATTAATACTGTTATTTGTGAATTCTAGTTTATAAGATAATGAGTTTCTACTGAGATGAACAGTCTGCAGTGTACACAAGAAAAGAAGAAAATATGTTCTTATTAAAGCTAAAAAATAAGAAAATAAACAGGGCTGTGAATACAATTTAGAGATTAATAAAGAAAAAATAAAGAAAACTCACACTTATATTATCAATACTCATAACACTCAATCTTCTCATAACTATTAATTTTCTTCTTCAAAGAAACAGAGAGTATTATATCTGTGATACAGACAATTGTTACATTTAATATAAAGATCATCAGAAATGCACAGACTTCAAAAGAGTCAGATATCAGAGTATGCACAGTTGCAGCAGAGTCTTGAAGACTGATCATCTACATATGTGATCAGATATCTCTTACAAAGCTGTGTTCACTCTTTCAGTTATGCTGAAGTATTCAGCCTGAAAACAATGAGAATATGAAGAGAGAGCTTATCTACTCAGATTAACTCTCATCATGAATTCATGACATTCACATTGCCTTAATTACTCAGATTTTATAAGTACTCAGAGACTCATCTCTCATTAGCAATGAAATTGCAGAAATGCACTGTGGCGTGAGAATCATTGATAGAGAACCTAGGCATATTCATATATACCTGATCAGAGATTGTGCAGACAGAGAGAGAATAATCATAGGTCTATGAGACTGCAGAAGACACTGACAATATCAGAAGCTTCACAAGAACTGTCAGCTAGAGTCTGTAAGAAATTACTTATAAGAAGACTTACAGTAAAGAGAGAGACTGTGCTGCTTAAAGTCAGAGACTGATCTGAGAAAGACAGAGAGTTGACTGCTGACTTGAAGATCAGATGCAGTGATAGAGCTGAGAGAGATAAAGACACAGTTATAAGCAGCAGCATCTCTGCTTCATCAGCCAGTAAAAAGTAATCAGAGAAGTTGCAGAAATACTTATAAGAAGCTCAGCAGCAATCAGATATTATTTATAAAGAGATTGAAATTGAAAAAATTTTTATTCTTGAGAAGTTCTTGAATCAATATACAGACATTGTCAGAAATACTCTCTCTCTATTATCTGAGTGAAAATACTTTACAGATGAATGAGAATACTCACAGTTTATAAGAATAAAAGCTGTTACAGAAAAAGAGAAAAGAAGATAAGATTTCACAGACAGATCTGAGATATTTATACTACTCTAAAGAGATTTACTTACACTGTGAGTGATCTCATAGAACAGTCAGATCACTCTAGTAAACAAGAGTAATTATGAATCACAGACCTGAATCTTTCTATATGACTATAAAGAGTGATTACAGACTATAGATATCTTGATTCTACAATTCTACAGAGTTGATAAAAGAATAGAAAATTCCTCACAATTCTACAGTGTCAAAGAGCAATAATTTACAAGAATGAATGAAAGATCAACTCACAAATATTTCTCTTTAATGAGAATAATCTCACAGAGAGTGATTCATCTGTAAGATGAATCTGTGTGATGATCACATAAGAATCTCATGAAAATGATTGAGAGTTAACTGAAACTCTTCTGTATGAAAGATGTAAGATGAATCTGTGTGATAGTCAGAGAAGAATCTGTAAATTATAAAGAATCTCATAGAATAAGAAACTGAGTAACAGACTCTTTTCTCTTCATAGTAACAAGAGATTTTTCCTCACTGAGATTTTTTATAGATATGAAGAATTTTTAGTGAGTATCACTGCAGTGCTGAGCTGACTATGAAGTCACTCAGTGAAAGGCTTCACAGACAAAGTCTTAAAGAGAGAGAAGTATGTAAGAAATCTCACTTCTCACAGATTCTTTATCTCTATTTCTATCTCTTATATAATCAATAGAGCTAGCGGCTCTTGACTACACACAACTATATAGACTGGAGTTCACAAATACTATTCATAACTCAGCTTGAATGCTATTATATATTTGACCTCTATATTTTATCTTTCTACTGTGAATACTTCTAGTAGTTAACAGTACATATCACGCCAAGCTGCAAACACCCGAATAATCGCCTGTGAGCACTTATTCTTACAATTTCATCAAAGAAGAGTTGTATAATTCTTTTAGATATAAAACAGTTAACTCATTTTATTAGAGAAAGTGACAGTTTTAATATCTTCAATGTCTGAATTAACTTTGACTTTGAAACATGATCAAATGCTTCTTTTATATCAATAAAAACTACAGTTGAGATCAGACTCTCATACTTTGCTATTTAAATATTATGAATAACTGAGAGAACAGTGTTAATTGCAGAACACTGTTTTCTATCTCTCATTTATTCACTGAATAAAAGAGAATCACTTATAGAGCTTATAAAAGATAGTAGAGTAGCTATTATCTTTTCTAAAACCTTTTCTAGACAGTTCAATAGAGATATTACTCTATATAACTTAGAAATTGAAGTTTTTCTATTAGATTTTGTAAGAATCACTTCAGTGACTTCTCTTCAGCATTCAGAATGATATTCATTTTTCAAGAGATTGAAAAAGAGCTTAAAATATTCATTCTTTAAGTAGAAGTATATATTTTGAATAATTAAGTGATTAATTGAATCAGGCTCTGCAGCAGTCTTAACTGAACTTGAGAAGATAGCTGACTTTAGTTCATCTTAAGTAAGATCAGGCTATTCTCAATCATTTTCATCAATATAGTTGAGATATGATATATTCTCTTTCTCTGAATCTGAATCTGATGAGTTTTGAAAGAGAGTTCTTATAAAAGCTTAACATTTTTTCTCAAAAGAGTTTGCTGTATATGATTCATTCTGAAACTCATATTCTAAGATTGAAAGTTTTGCTACACTTCTTGTTTTAGTATAGTTAAAAGCTTTAAAAACTTCTTTTTCTTATGCTTCTTCAAGAAATTTATTTCAGCAGTCTGTTTTAGCTTTTTTAATATCTGAAAAATATTCATTTCTGACAGCTTTAAACTCTTTATCAGAAATTATATCATTCTTTCAATCTCTTCTAGCAGTAGTTAATTGTTTTCTTTTAGATGTGATATTCTCATTTTATCAAGATTTTGAATACTCAGAAGACTTTCTCTTTAAAATATTATCTTTAACACTTGCTAGAATAATAGATGTAATGAGCTTCACTCTATTCTCAAGCATTTTATTTGAGATATCTTGACCAGGGCTTCAATACAGCTCACTCTGTCTTTCAGATTTTAACAGTTTTATACTTTCTTCAACTGCCTTTCAGTCAGCTTTTTCAAAGTTAAACTGATTAGAGAGAAGAGGATTTTCACTCATTTATTTCTCACTCAGTTCAATATTAAATTGAATAATCTCATGATCTGATTCTGATGTCTCATTTGAATCAATAAATCAGTTTACAAGTCTTTTTTCTATTAGATTTTATGACATGAAGATTAGATCTATAATAGATTTCTGTTTCATGTCTTTTCTAAAGAATGTTTGTTGATCAGACTTGTTAACTAAATCTACTGAATACTCAAAGATTCATTCAATCAGATTATCAACTCTTACTGCTCTTTTGCATTCTGAATTTCATCAGAGATGATGTGCATTGAAATCTCCTACAATTATAGAGTTTCTTGATGAAGTTATGTTCAGAAGTTCTCTATCAATTATTCAGATGTTATTATTTTTCTTCAATGACTTTTCATTATAGATATTTATGAGCTGTATAGTATCAAACTAGAATTTCTATATATATACAGAGCTTTGATTCTGATTCAGTAGTTTCAGCTACTTTTCTTACTACTTTAAGTAAACTCTCTGAGAGATTCTGTATATCTTCTGATTCAGATAGTAGAGAAGAGTATTATTTATATTAATTAAAAAAGATATTTATTTCAGTGATTTCTTATTAATTATATAATGTCTATTATTATATTACTATATTATTATTTCACTATATTATTATATAATTTCTATTATTATTATATAACTCTGATAATAATCATCTCTCTCTTTTTATTCTTCTTTTAGATAGAAAGTGAACTTCTTTGAATCTGATTCACTACTCTTATTTCTTTTCTCACATCTTATCTGTTCATGTATTATACATGATATTTATCTGAGTATGAAGTTTTCCTCTAATAAGTGAAGCAGTATCAATTGAATACTCTTTCACTTACTGCTCTTTATATGCTATCTTTTGAGACATTCTAGAATCACACTGATATGATAACTATGAATTATTTTATAGACAGAATTATCATGTTCTGGAGAAGCCTGCTCTCATCAGTTTTTAGACATGCTATCAGATGCGACTCAAAGGTTGCTTGAGCCAGTGTACAATTACAGGCGTACACCGGCTTCTTATATACTGTACACTAAATTAATTGGTGGCTGCTATGGCCCCTTTACATTCGTAAGCAAGTTCGGAAGCGGCCGTGTTATTATCCGGCGGTCGTACGTTCTTCCGAACCACAGGAGTGGTCACTTTTAACCATTGTCTAGATTATTCAATGACAGCTTATCACAGTTTTGCACACACTGATTCCAAAATGTTAACCTCAATAAGCTTGCTGTCAGACAGTTTCTCCTCTCAAATGATTGATTGCCCACCTCTATTTGAGCCCTTAATAATTCCCCTCACTCAGTTATATAACTAGATAAATGTTACTTTCCAGCATAGCCAAGCTTTCACAACAGATCACATATTTTGACCCAGGAACTCTTCTTCCTCATTAGCCTTTCCATTGATGACTGCTCGCTCTTTAGCAGGAAAAATAGCCTCTCAGCCTGGGCTGAATACTGCTCCCATATCATGGAAACTAGCAGTTTCGTCAATTCTACAGAATACCGAAAGCACGTTGACTTTGTGCTGAAGGAGGAGCTTGGAGAGATACATGTCAATATCCCTGAGTTCTTTGACACATACTTTGGAAATATTCCACAACTCACTGCAGCTTCACAAGCGTTGTTGAAAGGGTGCAAGAGAGGAGACAACTCACTTTACAGTGAAGAGAAGGGCTGTCGGGGCTGGCCTGAACTTGTGACAGAAAAAGATGTTCTGGGATGGCTGGCTAACATCATTGCTGAGCTTGTACAATTAGCTGAAGCACAAGAGCTGTCCTGGAAGATTGACTGCAGACCTCTCACACAGCCAAGCCAGCTACTACAGAGGTCTATCGCGGAGAGAAAGCTCGATATCGGCTTTGTTGATGATTCGATGATCACAGAAGACTTCAGATGTCACTGGTCACAGATCCTGGTGTCAGGAGAGCTGAAGAATGATCTGAAATATGACAGGAAATCCAGGGCATGATTTGATCTTAGCAGATATTTCAGGGAGGTTCTTTCTGTGCAGGACACTCATTGTTTTGTGCTGGGGTTCACCCTTTGCAGGCTATTTCTGCAACTATGAAACTTTGACTGCCTGGGCAGGATCATGTTGAAGGAGTTCAACATCAATCAGAACAGTCTTCAATTTGTATCTGTTGTCCTTGAATTCCTCCTGATGAGCTGGGAGCAACTTGGGTTTGATCTCATCATCATCATGACCGGGACTGAACAGTATATTAAGATTGAGAAAGATGGTATGAAGGAACAGCTGATCATTGACAGAATTGTTGAATGAGCACACTGCATTGCTGGGTGAGCCACAACCTGCTGAAAGACACACTGTGAGACTGATAAATTACAGACACTGCTGATTGTCAAGGACTTCTGACAATATTCAGAATGCACTGAGGAAGGAGAGTTGTTGCAAGAAGCAATGATGAAGAGGGTCAAGAATGTGATGAAGTACTATCACCATGAAACCATTCACATTGATGTCAAGGTTGATAATGTCTTGGCTATCCGAAAGGGTCTCAGTATTCTGATGAAAGATGAGAAGGGTGGCTTTAAGGCGACAGTGCAGTGTAGTATGTCTCAAAGAGGACAAAAGAGCCAGGGCAGCACCACTGGCCAGAAGTGATCCCCTGACTGTGTGGACACAGCTAGACTGGCCGCCGGGACCATGAATTTCATGTTTGATCCCATTTGGTCTGGTCCCATACATTTCTTGGCGTGAATCCCGCTGGGACTGACTATCAAAAAAACATGTAAAGTGACTATATATCAGATCTTAAAATGAAACCATGACTTGAAAAAAATGAGAAAGTGGTCTCATTTAGTCCCATTTAGTCCCATTCTTGGCATAAGATTACTATTTTTAGACATTTTAAGGTTTTTTTTAGACTATTTTTAATTTTTTAAAAAGTAACACTTTTTGATAATGCTCAAATGAGATTTAAAGTCATTTAAAGTCATAAAAATAATTTAAATTGAGAAGTGGAAATCATGATCTCATTTGAAAAATGTGACAAGAGTAGACAGTAAGTCCCACTGGGACAGTATGGGACTACTATCTAATGTTAAAACTGTGTAATGGGATCAGTCGAATTGGTAATGAGACTATCAAAAAATCTGGTCCTGGTCCCAGACACGGTCACACGGTCAGTCTAGACACAGCGCTTCCTCCTCCCCCAAGCAAATGTACCCAGTCAAGTTCTTCATTCAAACCTGCCGGCGGCTCAACCCAATTAAACTGAGTGCACCGCCGCGTCGTTATCCGGGACTACAGGAAACCAATCTACCAGAATAGCTTGAAGGCCGTTCTGCTCACTGCGCTGGCTGGCTGTATTGAAGGATACATGTCACTCCATGATGAGGCTGGCCTCATTCAATGCGATGTTTCCCCCCAGAACCTGATGGTGAATGAAGACAAGGATAACTCATCATGGCCTGCCTTTCTGATTGACCTTGACCTGGCAATCAGAGTACAACGGGATGCATCTTCCGGCGCATGGGGCAAGACAGGCACCAGGGCATTCATGGCCATTGGTGTCTTGTACGGTGAAAAGCATTGTTTCATGCATGATCTGGAGTCATTCTTCTGGGTCCTGTTCTGGATATACATTCACTATGACAGCCCAGGGAAGGGAAGCACTGTCAAGTGGTTTGAGAAATGGAATTATATGAGTACTGAAGAGCTGGCAGCTGCAAAGCAAGGAGTGATAAGTGAGGAGAGTGACTTTCTTAGAATTGCTGAAGACTATTTCACACTGAGCTATCAGTCCTTGATCTCTTGTGTCAACCGTTTACAACAGCTTGTCTTTCCAAACAGCGGATGGTGGAAGAAAGAAAATTCCAATCTATCCCGGAACATGATTGAAACGCTTCAAGATGGGGAAAATGACCCAAACATTGTAAACTAATGCAGATTCAGTGTATATGTTGATAGCGTATTGTAGCGTGACTTGCTTTTTGTTTGTGTTTTGATATAGCATGCATTTGAGTAAGAGTGAGGATGGACATGATTTGTGAGAACCGCAACTCCTTGTATTATATATATATCTCTCTATTGTACAAAACTAGTTCTCTAGGCTCCATTGATATTCTAACTATGCATTCTTTAGCTGGCGGTGTGATATCCGTCGTTACAGGTGAGTAATCCCGTGGGGAGCCCCGCTAGTTAGTCACCCAGCTAGAGATTTACGCCTCCGAGACGACAGACGAGTGGTTATGCGGACATGTCTTGGGTGCGTGGGGTATATTGATACAATATTCCCCCTTTCTACATCTCATGCTTTAACTCCATCAAACGGCCACATCATCTTCATATCTTGGCGGTCCTTCTCACTCTCCATGGCCGCCAAAACAGCCTCATATATACGTTGGTGAGCTTCCTTCACTTCCTCCCAGCGATCTTCAGGGATCCAGCCATCCTGCTCAACTCCCAACGTCTCAACAATATCCTGTCTGACAGCCAACATCTTGTCATAGATATCTAGTCGTTCCTGGTAAATGCGCACTTCCTCAGAGCCCAAGACAGGTATAGGACAACCTTCTTTAAAGCCGAAGTCTTGCCAATGGTCCCTCAGCTGCATCAATTCATGAGTAAATGGCACCACACCATCTTTCCAGGTCCGATGACAGTAGCGGAATGGTCGGAGGAGGATTTCGTCAATCTTTCTTACCGCCGCTAGCCGCGGAGCCAGAAGCCCTAAGCCTGCTTCAAAAGCCTGACTGCAGAGACTCTCCTCAGTGCCCTCTGATGTTTCATCCACAGGGGGCTTCGCGAAATCAGGTACGTCATCTGCATAGTAGAATGCTGGCTCAATACATGTGGATTGCCAATCAATAAAACCTGTCACAACAGTGGGATCATCCTCGGAGACAAAAATATTTCTCTTATGAAGGTCAGGATGGAATAGGGTTGGCGCCGCATTAGATTGTATCAGAGGGTGTTGTATCAATTTGGGAAACAGGGCCTGGCCCAGACCCAAAAGTTCCAGATGCTCGCTCACAGCGCCTTGATAAGACGGTTGCTGATGAGGAACAGGATCATCGGCGGGGGGCAGTCTCGCAAGGCCGACATCAATTAGGGCAGAGGAGTATGAAAGAAGGTCACGCCCTAAAGATACCAACGAGTGAGAAACTATGATATATTTTAAAGAGAAAGAATATCTTACATGGTCCCCTATTAGGTCCCTTAAATGCATAGTATCTGGGCTCTCCAACATTGCAATCCCAGTATGTGTTTCTGCAACTCGGCCCAATGCAGTACTTATAGTCATCTAGCTTTTGCTTCAAACCAGTATCAAGAAACACTGCATCGGCAAAATAAAGACTGCCATATCCTGGAAAGTCAAGTTCAGACATCTTCATAATATTTGTGGAAATTGATCTAATGCAATTCATTTTCTGCGGAAAGGACATCTTCGGCCACATTTGATGCAGTGGAACGCCGCCGGCATGTTCCATTATAATGTATGCTGAGCCAATGGGGTTGGCCAGGTCGTCACTCCAGTCCAAGATGGTTGGAATTGGTATTTCGGCATTCTGTTGCACTGTATGGACAAGTAAGTAAAGTTGCCTTACCAAATCTAGATCCTCATGCATGTGGCCTTACAATAAGTAATTGTTGCAACTTCGGAGTTTGTGATAAATCTAGCTGGTCCAGCAACAGATGTTGGAATCTTTGCAACAACACATCTCCCATTATCAGTTGTAATAATGAATGCTCTACTGAAGCCACCCTCCAGTTTCTGACAGCTCTGTATTGAAGTGGCAGAAGGACACAGAGAGAGGACTTTTTCACACAGGCGGTCAAAATTGAACTGTAGATACCGTGCTTCACGCTGCGGGCTGTCAAGGTGTAGCCATCGACCGGCAGTGTAGTCAAAGAGTGCTTTATTACATTGTTAAAAGTTATATGGTCAATGGAGTGTTAAGGAACTCACACTTCATGGATTGACATCCTGCCATTGGCGCTTGCGAGATAGTCCGGTGTCCACTCATCAGTGAAGTTCGTCTGAACTGAATGGGCTTGGGTCTCTTAAAAGAGTAAAGGAGTAATTTGTGGCATCTCATAATCATTTCAGGGGCAATATCGAGGGTAGACGGAGTAGACTGACCGTGTGACCGTGTCTGGGACCAGGACCAGATTTTTTGATAGTCTCATTACCAATTCGACTGATCCCATTACATGGTTTTAACATTAGATAGTAGTCTCATACTGTCCCAGTGAGACTTACTGTCTACTCTTGTCACATTTTTCAAATGAGATCATGATTTTCACTTCTCAATTTAAATTATTTTTATTACTTTAAATGACTTTAAATCTCATTTGAGTGTTATCAAAAAGTGTTACTTTTTAAAAAATTAAAAATAGTCTAAAAAAAACCTTAAAATGTCTAAAAATAGTAACTTTATACTAAGAATGAAACTAAATGAGATCAAATGAGATCACTTTCTCATTTTTTTCAAGTCATGGTTTCATTTTAAGATCTGATATATAGTCACTTTATCTGTTTTTTTGATAGTCAGTCCTAGCGGGATTCACGCCAAGAAATGTATGAGACCAGATCAAATGAAATCAAATGTGAAATTCATGATTCTGGTGGCCAGTCTAAGACAGAGTAACTATTTTAAAACTTGCATAATACTTGCTCAGTGCAAACATTGAAGTGTGTGATTATCTCAGTAAACTCAGCCACTTCACTCCGAGCTAACTCAATTCAAACTACTGCTACTTTCTGCCAAGTCCTGCTAACATCTGAGTCAATCAACTGTCACAGAGCTTATACTAAATCTAAATAGAATATTCTTAGTAAACTCTTTACAGAGTATGTGAGAAAAAATGATTTCTATTTATTAGTAATACAGAAATAATTTACTTTAATCATAATATTTAAGATAGAATTACTATATAATATCACTTATAGATTATTTCTCTATTATTTTAAAGAATTAATTTTTTAATTTTCTATTAATTAATATAATTTTTATCTGAAAATATATATATTCTAAGTATAAAGTATCATATTAAAAACTGCTACTATGTTTTTAAATATAGAAATGATTTACTAATTTTTCAATTATAATTATATCTAGTTATTTAATATCTTGTAAGAAATCCCGCTTCTTGTGAATTCTTTACCCCTATTCCTATCTCTCATGTAACTAATAGAGCTAGCGGCTCTTGGCTACACACAACTATATAGACTGGAGTTCATGAATACTATTCATAACTCAGCTTGAATGCTATTATACATTTGATCTCTATATTTTATCTTTCTACTGTGAATACTTCTAGTAGTTAATAGTATATATCATATCAAGCTACAAACACCTGAATAATCATCTGTGAGCACTTATTCTTACATTTCAAGCTCAGTCAGTCAGCAATCACTTATTATGACTGAAAGAACTAGAAACTTATATACTTTAATCTCTGTGAACTCTACTGCAGACACTCAGAAACAGTTATCTGAATCATGAATAATTTCTATGAAAGAAGTCTCAGAGAACTTATTAATCACTTATAAGATATTATTCTCTATATCTGTGACAGAGAAACTCTCTGAACTCATGAATAAATCAATCTCAGTGAAGAACATTCTTAAGCATCTTTTACAGAACTAAGCTATTTTTCTATAAGAAATACTTACTGTCTGTAAACACTCTCAAACTGAGTCTCTAGACATGATCTTCAGAGATACTTACAAACTGAAAAGAAACTTTCTTAAGCTGTGATTACTTAAGATTACTTATCAAATCACAATCTATAAAAGCTTTTGCAAGTTTGTATTTAAAATTGACTCACAAGTCTGACTGTGTAATATGAAAGATGAAGAAGCTGTCATCTATATAATAACAGATCTCTATTACACTGAAGTCAAGAACTGACTGAATTATCTAGAGAATAATTATAAGAGATCTCACTGATCTATTCTCAAGATCTATCTAAAGAATAAGTTGAAAAACTCTGCAAGCTGAACAGAGAATATCTGAACTGTAATTATTAATATTAGAAAAAGAGATAAGAAATCTGATGAAGACTACTCACAGTATTTTATGAAATTATGATATAAATTAGAGTCTGTGAAAACAGAGTTCTGAAACAAGACCTGAATGATGATATTTATAAAGAGACTGAATAAAGATATATAGAATAAGCTTATTGAGTAAGACTCTAAGTTCTTGATTCTGAAGAAACTGATGACTCTCATTCATCACTTGCAGATCACTGTGAGAGTCACAGATCTATGAAGAGTAGATTATTAACTGACTCTGTGAGAGCTAGAACAACAGAGAACAGATTTATCAGAAAAAGATGATAAGATACAGAGAGATTCATATCTGACTACTAAGTAGAGAGAGAGAGCTTTATAAGCTTCTGTGAATAGAGTATATAATAGAAAGATTAAGAAAAAGAAACTCTGCTTTATCTGTTCTAAATCAGAACATCTTCATACAAACTGTCTAAATAAATTAAAATAGAAATTTGAGAAGTCATGAACAGAGTCAGTAACAGTCTTCTTAAGAGTCTTGAAGCTGATATCTGAATCTGTTACTCTCTTAATAAAAATACTTGCTTATAAAGAGAGACTGTACTGCAGTACTGCTGTCTCACAAGTATAAGAAGTATTAATAAACTCAGAATCTCAGGTCACTGTAATGTCTCTAAAGCTTGTAAAGTAAATGAGCTGAAAGATGAAGACTGAGAATCTGCTCTTATAATAAGCAGAATATGAGAACTCAGATCTGAGAACTGAGAGACTTATAAGAATTATCTTTGAATTACAAGATCTCTCTGAAATCTGAAGAAGATTTGCAGAAACTGTGATTATTATAAATATTATAGATGATATGTACTTGAGACTTGTATAACTTCAAAGACACAATTCACACATAGCTGTCTATAAGTCAGGTTTATACTTCTGATCAGTGTTAACAGACTCACTTATAAAGATAGAATCAGTTAATACTGTAGAGTTAGTTAGAGAAGACAAGCTCATCTATATAATAACTTTGTAAGTATCTGAGAACCTTACAGTCATGAAAACTGAGCTTCAGATATTAGAGAAATACTGAGATCTTACAGAGATATTCAGCTCAGTAAAGACAGCTAAGCTTCTCTCTCACTATAAGAAGAATCTAATAATAGATTTAATAGAAGAGTAGAAACTCTTCTAAGAACTAATCTATAAGCTCTCTTATTATAAAATAGAGATCTTACAGATCTATGTGAAGAAGAATCTGAAGAATGACTTTATCTAATTTTCACAGGTCTTCACAGAAGTCTCTGTGATGTTCATGAAGAAAAAGAATAAAGATCTCAGATTATATATAGATTACTGTGATCTGAACTTCAAGATAATAAAGAGCTGCTACTCTCTGTCTCTGATTAAGAATGTGATTAACTGTCTCACAAGAGCTGTCATATTCACACAACTGAATGTGATTAATATATATACACAGCTGTGAATACAGTCTGAAAATAAATGAAAGACTGTCTTTAGAACTGCACTGAGATTGTTTAAATATCTAGTAATATCTTTTAATCTGACTAATATCCCTGCAGTATTTCAGTCTTTCATTAATAAAATACTTCATGTATATCTGAATATCTTTGTAATAATATATCTGAATGATGTGATGATGTACTCTGTGAAGAAGAAAGAATATACTGAGTATGTGTAAAGTATGTTGAAGGTCTTAGATAAGACAGAACTGTATATTAAGCTTATAAAGTATAACTTCAGTGCTTATCAGATTCATTTCCTAGAATATGTAATTACTACAGATAATATTCAGATGAAATCTTCACAGATTGAGACTATTCTATTATAATCAGAGTCAACTAGTCTTTATAAGATTCAGATCTTTCTGAGCTTTGTGAATTTCTATAGATAATTTATCTTTGTATTCATAAGAATCTTCTTGACTCTTATAGATATACTGAAGAGTGAAAATAAGAAGAAGTTATTCTGTGAATAAAGAATGAAAAGATTATTAAGAAGAGAGAACTGTAAGAACTTTCTTATCTCAGAAGCTCACAGAGCCTTTATAAGATTGAAATAGATATTCACAGATACAGTGATACTGTTTCACTTTGATTTCTTACTCTTAATCAGATTGAAGACAGATGTCTTCTTCTTTATAATTTCAGAAATAGTCTCATGAGTCACAACTACAGTCAAATGAGAACTGAGTTTCAGTAATCTTTTTCTCATGAAAGATACAACCTGCAGAGATCAACTATGACATTTATAATCAGAAGCTTCTTATAATAGTGAAATTCTTTCATCACTGATATCACTACTTCAAGAGCCTTGTAACAGTGATTACTGTTAGAACTGATTATAACAGCTTATAACAGTTTACTTCAATTAAGAAACTCTTATAATAACAGATTTGCTGAGCTCAGAGACTGAGTGAGTTCTGATTCAAGATAGAACATATTAAGAAAACTAAGAACTCAGTGAACAGACTCTCTCACAGATCAGACTATGTTAAGAAGATCAGAGTGACAGACACAGAGAGACTAGAGAAGATAGAAAAGCTTCACAGAATACTCAGACTGAGTATTATGAAGAGATTGACTGAAGAGTCTCTCAATTCTCTGTGAGAGAAGAGAGAAAAGAAAGAAAAGAAGCCTGTATAACTACTCTCTATAACACTGAGAGTTAACATTCTAGAGATCTCTGTGAGAATTCTTGAAGAGAGTATCTATAATCTGAAGAGTTTGCAGGCTTTGAGAAGCACTGTAGAAGATCTGATGCAAAGAGAAACAGAGTATAAGTCTTTATAAGATCTTCTATTCAGATTGTCTGAACTGTAACTGAAGAATGAATATACTCAGTATATTCAGAAACTGCTCACAGCAGAAATCAATCCTGCAGAAATAAAGAATTGAAGAGACTTAAATAATCTCTTACAAAGAGAGAACTGGATTTATATATCTATGAATAAGTTTCTAT